TTGTTTCCCATTGGGACGTAGATATCACTCCTGTGCCTTTCCATTATAACAGATCCGTGTAGGGTAGAAAGAAAAATTCATTTCGTAACTTAATTAATACAGCTTTCACCCCCATTATTTTCTCTCTTTATGCCCGGTGAGTTGTATTGGCCCGGGCGTTATTACGATTTCTCGATCAGCCTTCAAAATCCATTAGCCATGCCCCAATTAAAGGGGGTCCATTTACAGTTGACTAGACAAAGGAAAATAACAGGGAGTCGGGTTAAGATTGATTTGTTAGAAGGGATGGGGAAATAATTTATATCACACGAGATTCTTATTTAAAATAATTAATAATGTGTGGTGAGATGCGGTCTGGTGTGATGTAGGTTTTAAACAAGCATTTTCTTTATCATGCCAACATTTCGATCTTTATTGAGATCATCATCAGCGCACTCTCAACACGACACCCAAGAATGACACATCTACACGGAAAACAAACACTTTGAGCCTTGAAGATGATCTCAATAAAGATCGAAACTAATTAAGGCTTTGGTTGAGATAAAAAGTCAGTGTTACGAGCGGGATTCGAACCCACGTTCTTCGTCTACATACGCCGCTGCTCTACCACCTGAGCTATCGTGACTTCGATCCTCTCGGACACTAACTTCCCATCTTAACCCCAACCTTTGAATTTTCCCTCCTTTTTGTCATTTTTCAAATGTCGTGTAATCTATTTGATTCTCGGCGACAGATGAAATGGTCCGAATCCCGCTCGTGACACTGACTTTTTATCTCAACCATAGCCTTAATTAATTAAAAAGAATTTATTTGGTCAAGCGGACCACGAAACCTAATCAAAGATCGAAACGTTGGCATGATAAAGAAAATGTTTTTCTAAAGCCTACGCCACACCAGACCGCACCTCACGATCTCCAAATAATCATAATTAATAATAGGGATTTTACTGTTCCATATCGATTTAAGCAACCAGCAACATACCAAGTGAAGTAATAAAAATGTGCATTACATTTCAAAATGCCAAGCGATACTTCCTTTCAATTGCTTTCTAATAGATCATAATTTATGACTTCCATAATAAAAAGAAGTCGATTACATACATTCCAGGGTCGACGTACTCTCGTATTCTTGGGTGGCCTCCAATTGCATATGTATTAAACTTTTGTTTAACATTATGTAAAAATATGGATGGGGGTCCAAATAAGTATTGAAGGAGGAGTGGTACGCATCGATCCGAGAAAGCTGTGAATGATTCCAATTCGACATCTGCCTTTTTTATTAAAGGGTCTTCTCACATCCAATATCAAGGACCACTTTACGAGTCGGCCGGGTGAGAAATAAGCCATATAAATATAGTTTCAGAGATAGTAATTAAATGAAGGGGGAGGAGGACCGATCGAGGGCATAAAATTTAAATTGATATTCGAATTAGAATTAGCACAAGAGATTTTAAGTGGTGAATCACCCTTTCAGCCCCATGTGCGCTTTTACCGAATGGGCACCGAATCAGGGATTTTTGCCCATGTACCGAACAAGGATTTTATTGCCAGACTTCTTGAAACATCTTGTATAATAAACCGATATAAGAAAGACAACCCTCTTAGTAAATAGACTGTTGGAAACTCCCCTTTTCCGTGCGTCCTCCGATTCGCGGTGATTTATTGTGCAAGCGTTGCTTCATTCGTCGCAGATGGTACTTTCATTAGATTCTTTCGAGGGCAAACGTTCCCCTTATTAATTGTAATTAACGAACCGTATGATTTATAATGCTCTCAACGTGTGTATGGAAAAACTACGATCGATACATATCACATGTGGAATAATGGCGAAAGGACGAATTTTAGTTAGTTAAAAAGCTGAAAATGACCACCTTAGACTTCAATTCAATAATTAATATAACTAACTGTAGAAGCTAGCAAACATCCACCTTCATACCACTTTATTAAATCTAAAATGGTCAGGTGCCGCTTGTATCATCTTATATCTCTATCACAACAGGCAACTCAGGAAAGCATTCTTGGCCTATGCATGTTAAATATAACCCTACCGATATTCGCTCTTCATTTAACAATATATCTATTAGCTATGTCTATTTACATACCTTATTTATAAATCTATCAGGGTAAAATTAAATTTAAAAACAAATCCATCAGGTTTGGTATCACAAGGAAGCATACTTGGTCCATTCATTTTCACGATATACCCTGTCAATATTCGCTCCCATTTTAAAAACGAAATATGGCCAATTGTAATACAGCTAATTGACTAAACTGATGAACATCTACCAACCTACCTGGCCAGGTATTGTTTATCATCATCTCATTCCCAATCAGTGCGTTCCTCAAGGAAACACCCTTGGCCCATTCTTTCAAACCTATCCCGCCAATGTTGCTTCTCAATTTACCAACTTCCCGATTTTCGGTCCTGTGTTAGCTACGTAATATGACGAATAATATACAGCTGGTTCGCTGTTAATTCAGGCGAACTTCAAGGAGGCATTCGTGACACATTGTACCATATACTCTGCCACTATTCAATTTTAATTTAACGATAAAACTATTGTAGCTGCGTAAACTTAAAAAAAACATCATTCCCCATATCGAATTTTTAAACTGAACCTAGGTACCGCCTATTATCATTTTGTATCTCAACGAAAGCAGGCGTTCCTCAAGGAAGTATCTTTGGCTCAATCATTTTCAAATAAACACTGCCGATATTGCCTCTCATTTTAACAATTCAGCTATTGATTGTGGCTAAAGAAGCTAAAAAACGTCCTCCCATTTACTATTGTTAAAAATCTTAGCGTCTTAGCGGAAAGACTATATCCCCATTATGTGAAGTGTACCACAAGGAAACATCATTGGTCTATTCATTTTTACGATATACCCAGGCGATATTCTTCTCAATTTTATTATAAAGCTATTGATTGTGGCTGTCGAAACTGAAGAACGTCCATCTATGTACAATTTTTCAAAATCAGGAAAAGGTTTTATAATTTGCCAGAGATTATGCTCCCATCAAGTGAGGTACCACAATGAAACGAACATCCTTGGCCTATTCATTTTCACAATATACCCTGTCGATATTCTCTTCCATTTTAACAACGGATGTGACGGATCTTGAATATAGCCTAAATATCAAAACCAAATCCATGCAGGACTATGGGAAGTATTTCTATCAGAACAGGTGTATCACAAGGAAAGATCCTTCCTTTCTCCATTTTTATATTGTATACTGGTGATATTTTAACTACCCTATAAAACAATACAGCTTTCCCTATTATTTTAAACTATTTGTAAACCACAGCACATAAATGTTAAATACTAATTGATAAATGAAATAATTTGTTCATCAATTACGTTACTCATTTTTGTACAGCAATTAAACAAGCTCCAGCCTTGTTATAATCAGTGCAATTAAACCAGGCGATCTTTTCTCTTGAAAATTTTTAACCTGAAGTACAAGTCATATAAAAATAAGAATTTTAATTGGGCCGTTTATTTTACCTTTCAAAAAATATATTATGGACAAATCTAGTGGACCGTGAACAATACAGAGACGTAGTTACGATCGTTCAAAACCAGGGCGAGTTCGTGTGGCAATTCAAGCGTGATAGCAGATGTTAATTTCCTTTAATTAATTTAAACTATGAAAGCCGAAGGTGTCAGAAATTAATTGGACAAACAGATTGTAAATTATTATTAAATTATCAAACACAATGTTACTCTGGGTTTTATATAATTGCTTGACGTTATAATTTCTGAATTAATTGGTGATCGGTCTTCAACATTATAATTTCATGTTAAAACAGTGAAATCTTGAGAAAAGGGGAATCTATAAACTGTGGGATCCCCGATTTTAATAAAAACTTTTTTTTATTGTTAGGTCAAATAATATTTTAAGAAATTTGTTGTACACTGCAAAATCACGAAAACAAAACAAACTGCGGACTAGTAAATTCCTATCTATTAAAATATAGTACTTATTTATTTTACGACCAAGTTTATTCTGGTATGTAAATAAATTAGAACCGGATATAAAAATAAAAACATGTGGGGTGTTTTTGTTGATTTCATCTTTATTTTACTCACTTATAATGCCATCATAAACGGGTTGAAATAACCTAAAAGGAAAACATGAATCCCAAATCCATGGACATTGGATAAAATGGATTTTTAAATGGAAAACAGGACATCGGAGGGAAAAAATGCCCTCGGCTGACACAACCCTAAAATGTCTATTTTCTATTTGCAGTACAAATTTGTATTTAAGGAGTTTAAATGTTACTATAAACGAATCCAAATTTGTTTATGAAAATTCATTTTTTCCCCTATTTTACTGGCAACGTCTTTTTATTGGTACAACTTTGTATATATCAAATCTCATTTAATAAGATCTAGCATATTATTTTCTTATCGGATGTCACAAATAAAATTGTATAAAAACTTGAATGATATATAATAACGTTGATATAGTACTTGCACAACACAGGCATTAACCACAATGACTGTAACTGAAAAGTTAGAAGGTTAACAAAAATGAATCACAATACATATGAATCTAGTCACAATTATAGTTTTTACAGTTCCAGATATATTCCTGGAAAGCGCAACAAATAAACTGTATTCTTTCTAATCGCCTTCAACCATTGATTATGTTTCAATAAAAAATGTTACCTTATTACATGAAAACTAATGGATTTTTCAATGAAGTTAACTTTTAAAACATCACAGTTTGATATTGCCTTGGTTCTTTCATTTAATCTAACATATGTACAATTGGGATTGAATTCTCTGAATTTACAATTGTAATTGGAATGCGTTTCCCAATTAATGTCGGTAGAACGTTTCCAAAATTATAAGGGTGCACCATAAGGGCGAAACGTATGTCGTCCGATTTCAATAAGATAACGGAATGAAAACATCTGTTCGTACGCGTTCCCGTTTGAAAATCGGAACTTAAAAAAATTTACAATACAAAGTGAAAAGTTCAAATTTTACCTTAGTATTGGGCGAGTTGGGTTTGATGAATTCGATCCTTCCTCCCTGGACGCAAATGTTGGGGGCGGGCGCCATGGCCACTTTCTCTCCCACAGGATGCACCTGCCTGGAAACAAAAGAAAATTAATGACATCATCACGAGTACCGTTTCGGTTCAATGGTAAGACCGTAACCCGGTCGATAAAGAAGAGAAAAAAGGGAGCTGAGAAAGAACCTAATGGGGAAAAAACTGGATCGTCTCGGGACAACCTCCACTTGTCGGATCCCAAGTTCGAACAATAAACTTCTTTCATCCTGCCATCGGTAAAGATCGTTCTTTAGCTGCGAAATCCACTTTGAGGTTTCTTTACGGGTTTTATTCACACTCGATCGACGTGAGCGGAAAAGAAAAAGAGAAAAAAAGTATAATTACAGGGAAAATAATGGAAGATAATAAAATACTAGTAATTAAATTCATACTAAAGTAGCTCCTAACCATATTTTTTATCACTTCCTTAGTGGCTCTTCGTTTTATGTTACTACATTATTTAACAACGTCAACAACAATATAATCAACGAACATAAAACATCCTGCTAAAGCGTAGGCAAATATAACAAATATAAAAAATGAAATAAAATGATTAATGATTGTAACCTTTTCCCATTCTCCTAAATGGTTTTCTGTTACTAAAGATGAAGCCAAACTGATTGTAAGGTATTGATTATAGTTGACTTTTTTAATAATTAAAGTTCTAGATGAATATAGTATTTAAAATTATATGTCAGTCAATTATTTTTTTATTAAAAAACCATTTGGTCTAAATAATACAAGCCTTAAGGACAAAACTGGTAGATTTCTTGGCATATAGAAATGAATTAATTAACATTTAAATATTTTGTGTTGTAAATTTTGATTTGACTTCGTCTTTCAGTTATAAAATATAATATAAGGAATGAAGACTTGAAAAACACTTGAAATATTGAGAAATTGATTTATATAAGATCAACTCTGTATATACATAAAAAATACGTACACATATACGGAATTGAGGTAATGATTTCTCGAGGTAATCCAAAGGTGTTAAAATTTCCCAAGAGGACGTCAAAACTCCCATTTACTCATAAAATCATTCTTTCCTATTTCCATTAATTATTCTTTTTATCTAAGGTCTTGGTTGAAATGAAATATTTAGTGTCACGAGCTGGATTCGAGCCCGCGACCTTTGGCTCAATACGCTGCTCTAACACTTGAGCTATTGTCACTTCTAGAAGTCAAGTGTTTAGAGCAGCGTATTGAGCCAGCCGAAGGTCGTGGGTTCGTATCCCGCTCGTGACATTACTTGTTCATCTCAACTAAGGCCTTAAATAAAAAGAGTAATTAATTGAAATAATTAATATGGTCACTTATAATCACTGAACATATATGGATTGTTTCCTTTTTATATCGTTCAAGTAAGATGGTAAAATACTCGATATTTATCACCTTTTACACATATAAAACTAATCTAATTATAGGCCGGTGGGGAACTCAATTTCAGGATTGGCTCTCTCTCAATTCAAATTTCCGCTAATTCATACATTCAATCTCAATATATACAAAAGGAAAACGTGCTAACTATGTACAATCGAATAATCATGTTCTTCCAAAAATGGTAATAGGGGAGCCGAATTCTCGATTGCTCAGGGAAAGAGGGAAAGTGAGAGAGAGCGCGAGAGGGGGAGAAAGAAATAAAGGAAGTAAGGAGTTGGGGAAAGAAAAAGGCACATATATAATAAAAGAAAGAGGAGAGAAAAGAGATGTATAGATAGGAAAAGAGAGAGAGGGGAAAGAAACAAACAAAGGAAGTAAGGAGTTGGGGAAAGAAAAAGGCACATATATACTAAAAGAAAGAGGAGAGATAAGAGATGTATAGATAGGAAGAGAGAGAGAGAGAGAGAGAGAGCGAAAGGG